ATGTCTGGGTGGGGTTTGACAAACCGTTAGCAAAGGAAGGAGTATTTGTCAATCTTCGGTAGACGAAGCCAAATGAAAACAAAATGAAAATTCCAATTACGAAATGAAATTGGATGCGACGACGTTTCCTACAAGTATTTCTTGCTAGTTTTAACATCGACATTTCAAGCACAAGCTGTTCGCATAAACATTTCCGCAATTGCCAATGCGCATACCTCAACCTAGTGCCAGATCCCTCACGGGACAAGTTGTTCGCGCGTACGCAATTGATTGTCATACTATGCAATAGCTCTTATCGGAGTTGAGCACGCTACCCAAACAATCCAGCGGTATTCTTGTGAGTAAACATCAAAGCGAGGCTATCGGGTCAACATCGATCAGATTTGTGTGAGAAAGTGAGGAAAACTTATAGAGTGTTCCACAAATCTTCCACAAGCGGCCTTTTTTCCGCTGAGGAGAAAGTGCAGTTGATAAGTGGTAATTGCCCACGGCATATTACTAAAGAAAGACTCAAAGAATGGTTGTCATTCCGCAAAGGGACGGCTAAAGATGGTAGTGCACGGTCTGAAGCAACGAAGGCTGAGTTATCTCAAAGGTACACAGATTGCAATATTTTTTGTCCCTTATAATTATTGCCATTGCTTGAAGGGAATATCGAAGCATAAGTTCTATATAGATTTGTTTTACCTGCCGCAGGGTCATCAGTTATATAAAAAATGGTTGGGAGAATAATTTTACGGAGAAGTAGCAACACTTGGCGGCAAGTAAACCACTGGAGCAAACGGCGACCGTCAATTGTGATTTCCCTGGATCTGCACAATGGGTTTTGCTGGTTGACGCGAAGGACGATGTCCCTTCATTTAATATTCAGAATATCGTGTCTTACTTTATTGAAAGAAAAGATAAAGACAATGAATCCAACTATTGTATTTTTTTGTTCAGTTCGCGCTCCTTAGTTTGCCATTTCTCAAGTAAACATGAGATTTCGTCATTCTTTAACTGAAGTTGATGTTCCCAGTTTTCATCTACAATTTGAAATAAACCTTCACTTTCGAGATGTTCAGTTTCCATACCATCTGAAACAGATTTAAAATCGGTGTTTTCAATGTTTATCGGTTCGGGGGCTGAATGCTGCTGCGATTTCTCTATTTTTGTTTTCTTTGTGTTCAACGTTGCTCGATCAGCGGGCTCTTTCCTCTTTGGTTTTTCAACAGTAAATATAAACTTTGTCGGTACGGAATCTGGCTTCAAGCGAATTCTTTGTCCTCCCATTGGTTTTATGAAGCAATTAGCTTAAAAATGCTGACTACAGACATAAGAGTTTTTGTTTACCGGAGTGTTCTCTAGACGCAGTTTCACGAGCCATTGTGCCAGCAAATTCTTGTTTGACAGCGGCAGCGAATGCCATGATAAGTCCTTGCATTCCGCTTTGGAACTTCGGTTTTGACACCCAAAAGCTATGCAATGTTTCACCATGGATAAAGAAACTAAAAACTCGAGAAAATATTAGGTAAATACCAAGCTACTACTAATTTCCCTCTCTGCTTCCTTATACTTTAGAGCGAGCTAGACCCGATAGCCTCGTTTTGGCGTAAGCTCATCTGGAGACCGCTGATTTCGCGTGCTCAACTCCGATAAGAGCTATTGATTTTCTATTGGTGTTAACGATCAACCATTACGCGAGATTGAAAGTATATTGGTTCTGTTTGATTGTTCAAAGGTGCAATTGTTCATCCGTTGATGCTATTAAATGTTAATACATATGCAAATAGCGTTATTGAAAGTTCGTTCGCGTTCATGAATTTCATGGAAGCGCTAATGAATGTATATTTGCCGTATAGTTTCAACTGTTGACGTTAATGAATGTACATTTTGCGTAAATGATCAGCAAAAGGTGTAATATCAGCTTCCACCACTGTTAGAGTTACTTTTTATCTCATCAGTCACCAGTAGGTTACGCTTTTCACTACCTATTTGGCCCAGTGTTTACATTTAGTTAATATTTTCCTTTCGAGAATCATCACTTTTCCTTTCATTCTTTCCTTAACGATTCTGCATACCGTGTATTCTTTTAGAAATAATACAAGATTTGGACCATCTCACGTGAATGGGTCGCGTTTTAAATGTCTGTTGGTCGAAAAACTTATGTCAAACTTGGAAACCCGTTACGAGCTGAGCCAATAGCAGAGAAGCTGTGAAGTTTGGTGTAACTTTTCCAGTGTCACAACAACGGTTTCGTAGGTGAGACCAAGGAAGATCATTCTAGTAGAGGGAAGACAGTCCTTTGTCGGTGAGGATTCGAGATCCAGGTTGGTGAAAAGTTGTCCAAGGTGCGTGAAAGCCACTACCGCTTCATCATAGGACGCCTCGACGCCTCGAAAGTCGTCATTATAATTCACACGATCAAAGTGAAACGATGTACGGAAGAAGTGAGCGGTAGTATTGGTAGTGCGAGGGTCGCCGCGCGGAGGCCAAACGGAGAACAAACTCGAAATGTACACTGTAAAATTAAAAGAGTTGATTTGGCCCCAAAAATGAGGCCAAAACGAGTGAGTCCAGTTTGGAACTCGCTTAGGGTCAATTCAGCCCCATTGAAATGAGGCTGTTTTTGGCACCAATTTTGGGGCTGAATTGACCCCGTTGTAGGGGCCAAATTGGACCATGTGAAGGGTGAAGTTGAAAAATACAGAGGCCACTTTGAAATTTATAGGGGCCAAAACAGCCCCCGAAATTTCAGCCCTCTCACAAATGGCCCCTTTAAAAAGAGCCAATTCAGCTCCAATGTGGGCCACTTCAGAAGTAGAGGGCTCTTTCCTCTCTATGCTGATTTTCCCCCTTACATTCAAATAATGAAAATACACCACATACTTTATCTTTCCAACACTCATTTATTAGGTTCTAGATATTGTTTATGTAAAAACCTTTTATGCTACCTGATTTTACAGTTATTAAGAATCTTAATTGTGGTATAAAACAGACAAACTTTGAAACATCTTGTGAAAGAATATAGCATACATACATATTTAACATTAATTCAACCATTTTCTAAAATAGATCTCTTCCCTAAATCAGTATACTTCTTAACAGTGCAAGCATTGCAAGAAATTACACCCAAGAGACACTTGTGAGTAAAGCTTCCCTTTTCAATGACTTAGCAAATGTGGTAATGTAAAGCAGCTTATAATTAAGACTGATTTAAAGTACAGAAAATTATCAAAATAAGACAGAGGCAACAAATGGTCCAGTTCCTGCACAAGAATATAGATCTTGTTTGATTTGTGCACATGAAAAACAAAAAGCCTTAGAGCAGCAAAGAGTATTCTTCCAGTGGATGTGAGAATACATGCACTCATATTGCTACTTTAGATATTATCAAAATATAAACTATCAGCAAGTACTACTGCAGGCATTTGCCAAGTCATTGAAAATAGAGGAAACAGTGACAAGAGTCTGCCTGTGCCCAATTTCAAGCAATGCTTGCTCTAAAAAAAGTCAAAATTGCCTTTGACCGATTGTAAGAAAATATAAATGAGCCAAGTAACCCAATGAGAGCATCAAGAATCTTTTCTTGTGAGAAGTGACAAATTACACTTCCCTCTGTTACTAAATTCAGGTGATTGATGTATTGAAGATCTCCAACAATTAAAATTTTGGCTGGACATAATCTCTGATTGCTGAATCAACATCAGCTACTCTATGCAATAAAAACAAGTTTTACAACCACATTAAAATCAAGCCAAAGTGCAAAAAGTGCCTGTAGCCAGAAAAAAAAAGAATATATATATATACACACTTAAGTTAAAGAATTAAAGAGGACGCATCAATTCTCTATGACTGAGTTTTGTGCCTAAGCACTTGTCAGACAGAAAAGTTCTGTTTGACAAGTGCTTAGGTGCGAAATTCAGAGTCACAGAGAATTGATGTGTCCTCTTTAATTCTTTAACTTATGTATACTTAGCTCTGCTACCATAGCATTGAGCACTTTATGCCAAGGTAGACTCTACCCCACATTTACATATATATATATATATATATATATATATATATATATATATATTGTATTCGTGACATTAGACAGTGGATGTGTGTGAGGAAATTAATGCTAAATGATGTCAAGACTGATTTTATGCTTGTTGGGACACGGAAGCAGCTCACAAAGGTGTCTATCGATGGCATCAGAGTCGGAGATTATAATATTAGTCCTTCTTCATCAGTCTGTAATCTGGGCACATGGTTTGATCCGCATTTGAATATGGATGTACATATTACCAAAACATGCAGCAGCTCATTTTATTATCTTTATAATATCAGACATATTAGGAAGTACTTATCTAGAAGTAGCACTGAAACACTAGTTCATGCGTTTATAACAAGCAGACTTGATTATTGCAACAGCCTTTTGTATGGGTTACCGAAATATCAGTTGTCTAAACTCCAGCGTGTTATGAATGCTAGTGCCCGTTTGGTATATTGTGCTCCAAAGTCGTGCCACATCACGCCTCTACTTCACGAATTACATTGGCTGCCTGTTTGTTATCGTATCGAATATAAAATAATTCTTCTTACATTTAAGGTATTGCATGGTATGGCGCCCGATTACTTGCGCCATTTAATATCTATCTTGCCGCCATCTAGGTATAATTTAAGGCGCAACGATGACTCTGCAGCTTTATTAACTTTCCCGAAGATAATATCCAAGAAGACCCTGGCAGATAGATCGTTTAGTTGTGCCGCCCCTAGACTTTGGAATTCGCTTCCTACCACAATAAGATCTATTTCCAGTTTAGATATTTTTAAAATTAGACTTAAAACTTTTTTATTTAATAGGGCGTTTAATTAGTTCTATAGTTTTTATAATTGAATTGCATTATTTTAGAATTGTAATTTTGAACTTCTATTTTAATTTCTAATTTAATATTTATTGTAAGGCGCAGTTGAATATTTTTATAGAAACTGCGCGGTATAAATTTAAATTTAATAATAATTTAATAATAAAAAACAAATATTTACCTACAGGTTCCTCCTGAATGGCTTTCAAAATTCCAACTACCATCGAGGGTAAGAAACTTTTCTTTGTTTTGTTTTTTAAGTCTACAAGCAATCCTTATTTATTCATGAATACTGAACTAAAACTGAAGTGCATAGAGGTATGATTTCTTTTCTTGATAAGTACATATACAGTTTGGTGAAAATACATCATTGATGATCACCATTATTGTGTTTTTACTTCTTATGCACAGTTTGCTTACAAATATTTTGCAACTTTGTAGTTGCAAAAATTTACTGTTCTCCAACAACAAATTAATTTGCTCATTTGTTTGTTTTTTTGTACAGTTCTCTGCCTCAGTAGAGTTGGATACCCAGAAGGGATATCTCATCAGCAGTACTCTGAGCAACAGTGGATTGCAAAAAAAAATTATTGCAGAGTATCCTTGTATGGTTAGCAGGATACTAGACTAAGTTGACTTGGAAACTGAATGGATTGGTATGGTCTAAAAATCTATTGCTTCACCTCTTCTGCTTGCAGTGAAGAGAGAGAATTTTGTGGTGCTGAATCTCTTGCCTTAAAATAAAAAGTTGCAAAATAATCACTCTCACCTTTTAAGTTCATGACCTTTGTTCTTGTGTGTTTGTCATCACATGCATTTAATGAAGTTGTGACCATTTTGGAGGTACAAGTCCAAAAAACTGCTACTTTGGTACTAAGATGAACAGCTAAAATTTCTGAGCCCATTTGCCAATGAAGTCCAGATACAAAGGTTCAAGTACTTTGGGGTTGTATTAATTTTGCCTTTTTGTTTAGTTTTTTTGATTTTGCAATTTTTTAAAATATTCCTGTTGTCAAACCATTAGATAAATATTGGACATAGAATAGCTGATTTTTTTCAGATATTTTGGGAGTCATACATTAGTTTTTCAAGTCTTGAATGGGAGACAAATTACACACATTGAGCTAAACTTCCACTTCCATTTCTGGTGTTTTAGCTTATAGTTTTAGAAAAAATATATATATATATATATATATATATATATATATATGTAAATGTGGGGGTAGAGTCTACCTTGGCATAAAGTGCTCAATGCTGTGGTAGTAGAGCTAAGTATACATAAGTTAAAGAATTAAAGAGGACACATCAATTCTCTGTGACTCAAAATTTCGCACCTAAGCGCTTGTCAGACAGAACTTTTCTGTCTGACAAGCACTTAGGCACAAAACTCAGTCACAGAGAATTGATGCATCCTCTTTAATTCTTTAACTTAAGTGTGTATATATATATATATTCTTTTTTTCTGGCTACAGGCACTTTTTGCACTTTGGCTTGATTTTAATGTGGTTGTAAAACTTGTTTTTATTGCATAGAGTAGCTGATGTTGATTCAGCAATCAGAGATTATGTCCAGCACAAATTTTAATTGTTGGAGATCTTCAATACATCAATCACCTGAATATAGTAACAGAGGGAAGTGTAATTTGTCACTTCTCATAAGAAAAGATTCTTGATGCTCTCATTGGGTTACTTGGCTTATTTATATTTTCTTACAATCGGTCAAAGGCAATTTTGACTTTTTTTAGAGCAAGCATTGCTTGAAATTGGGCACAGGCAGACTCTTGTCACTGTTTCCTCTATTTTCAATGACTTGGCAAATGCCTGCGGTAGTACTTGCTGATAGTTTATATTTTGATAATATCTAGAGTAGTAATATGAGTGCATGTATTCTCACATCCACTGGAAGAATACTCTTTGCTGCTCTAAGGCTCTTTGTTTTTCATATGCACAAATCAAACAAGGTCTATATTCTTGTGCAGGAACTGGACCATTTGTTGCCTCTGTCTTATTTTGATAATTTTCTGTACTTTAAATCAGTCTTAATTATAAGCTGCTTTACATTACCACATTTGCTAAGTCATTGAAAAGGGAAGCTTTACTCACAAGTGTCTCTTGGGTGTAATTTCTTGCAATGCTTGCACTGTTAAGAAGTATACTGATTTAGGGAAGAGATCTATTTTAGAAAATGGTTGAATTAATGTTAAATATGTATGTATGTTATATTCTTTCACATGATGTTTCAAAGTTTGTCTGTTTTATACCACAATTAAGATTCTTAATAACTGTAAAATCAGGTAGCATAAAAGGTTTTTACAGAAACAATATCTAGAAGCTAATAAATGAGTGTTTGAAAGATAAAGTATGTGGTGTATTTTCATTATTTGAATGTAAGGGGGAAAATCAGCATGGAGAGGAAAGAGCCCTCTACTTCTGAAGTGGCCCACAATGGAGCTGAATTGGCTCTTTTTAAAGGGGCCATTTGTGAGAGGGCTGAAATTTCGGGGGCTGTTTTGGCCCCTATAAATTTCAAAGTGGCCCCTGTATTTTTCAAATTCACCCTTCACATGGTCCAATTTGGCCCCTACAACGGGGTCAATTCAGCCCCAAAATTGGTGCCAAAAACAGCCCCATTTCAATGGGGCTGAATTGACCCTAAGCAAGTGCTAAACTGGACTCACTCGTTTTGGCCCCATTTTTGGGGCCAAATCAGCTCTTTTAATTTTACAGTGTAGTTAGAATAAAATAAGACATCCTGAAAATATGTCGAAAAACCCGAGACTTTATTTTTGTTGCTTATCAGAACCCGCATGCTTGAATCGACAAACACAAGTAAGAATCCGAATCAAGAGGTTTGATTCTTTTATAAGTTCTGCTAGGGTTTTCCTCTCATACTGAAAGTGTGGGCGATTGATTTAAAGTGTTTATTGCCACACCTATATGTCCTCCGCTTATAATAGCACCCCAAAAAAGAGAAAGGGTCTGCTGTGCTGCTTGCTTGCTTTGCTGAGAAAAAGTCGGACGAAATGTTGGATAAGTGAGTTCGTCAAACTCATGCTTTCTTTTCTCCGGAATAGAAGAGCCAGACTGGGGAGCTATTTCTCCCGAACTGAATCCAGTGAGAGTGTGACTCATATTCAACTGTTGTTTCTGTGAGACGGTAGAGTATCGAGTGATACTTTGAACGTTTTTGTGTCCTGACAGTTGCATAATATCAGTTTGCGGCACGTCGTTGTTGCCAGATTTTACATTGTTTATTGTCAAAGTAAACGGTGCATCGTTGGTTTCCATTTCCGCGGGTCGCTTTTCTGCGTAGACTTTGTAGGCCCGTGCTGGACATTTCTGGTTGTTCGGCACAGCAAACATTCTCGGTGCAATGGCTTTTACATTCCGTGGATCGTTTCTTGAACGAGTTTTGGTTTCCCTTTCATTGAATTCGAGGTACTTCTGCCCTATGGAAGTTTTGACAAAGTTTTACGTCTCCCCAACACATTTGTCTGCGCTCCTTGCAGCCTAGTAACCCGAAATGGATTATGTTGTTGAACCATACTTCCAAGAGATCTTTTTCAAACAGAGCTTGAATATCTTCCTCACTTAAAGCAGCAGACGCATTAGGCTTGTTGCCCATGCCTTTCCGTTTTAGATCCCTTTGCTTTGACTGAAGCGCTCTCCAAGTTTGCTCGAACTGGACGTTTTTCATAAGGCAAAGTACATAGTAAATGGCGCTGAAAACTGGCGAAGAAAGTCCGTAAGGAATTAGGCTCATATTCTTCGTTGTGTTCTTTTTTTGCGAACCGTTATAAGGAACTCGCTGAGAAACTTGTTCAGCGCTTGAGGAGTCATTCGTCCATTCGTCTCGTCTTGCCTTTCAAAACAAGAAATTCATGGAACAGAGCAACATCGTGTTTTTTTTTTTGGGTGTTTTTCGTCTTTCATAAGGCAAAGTCCATTACTTTTTTTTTCTTCAAATGGCGCTAAGAGCTAACGAAGAATCCCCTTAAAGAATGAGGCATGTATTCCTAGTTCTCTTCTTTTTTGCGAACCGTTAGAAGGAACTAAACTTGTCCAGCGCTTGAGGGGTCATTCGTTCATTTGTCTCGTCTTGCCTTTCAAAACAAGAGATTCATGGAACAGAGCAACATATTTTTTTATTTACTTTTTTTCAGGTCTTATTAACAACTACTCGTTTCAGTAGTGTTTCTTAGCTGCGAGGATCTCTTAATTTCATCTTTCCACCGCAGTGCAAATATGTGAATTTTCATATATCTAAAATCTTCATTCACTTGGATGTTTATTTGGACCCAATTCATTGACCAGCTCCCAGTTGGCTTGTTAGCTCAATTGGTAGAGCGCTGCACCGGTATCGCAGAGGTCATGGGTTCAAATCCCGTACGGGCCTGAAAATTTTTTCAGGTCCTATTAACAACTACTCGTTTCAGTAGTGTTTCTTAGCTGCGAGGATCTCTTAATTTCATCTTTCCACCGCAGTGCAAATATGTGAATTTTCATATATCTAAAATCTTCAGAGCAACATATTGTTTAGTCTTTTTCTTAGTGTTTTCATTTTCTGTCCGTCTATGAACTCCTCTATTGATAAATCTAGGCTCTGAAAACGGTTAGTCTGATCTGAAGCCATCTTTCTTAAAAAAATGCGCCTAAGCTCCTAGAAATGTGCAAGTGACACGGTTTTTTTCACTAGTGAAAATAATGATAATCGTATGACCAATCAGTTGGCGTCTCTAACGCGAAGAAACTATTTTTGTCTCGATGAATTTTGGCGCGTAAATCTCGGTATGTATATAATAATGAATAATACGCGGCTTCGCTCGGAAAGCTTCGTTTTGCACCGGCTAACTAATGGTTATTTATTTTAAAATTGCCGACTTGCATAGAGTGACAAACAGCGACCGCGTCGTTAAGGGGACATGGAGCCGGTAAATGTTGCTAAAGGATTGATAGGGCTTATTAACTGTGTGAAGCGATAAGGATTTATATTTTACGCGGTAAGGATTAACTTTTAAGAGGCTGTCTCTCTTATTTCCACCCGGTCAATTTTGCGTCAAAATCAATTTTGCCTGAAACTCTGTTAACAGAAAGACTTTACCTAGGAAAGAACTAAATTAGATTTGGTTTGATTCGAAATAGTTTTCTGACTGCATTACGGGCCATAATTATTTCCCAGTCTGTAGGGACCGTCGCAACTTCTCGAAAATTGAAAAATAGGCATATTTTGTAACGTTGTAAAATATTTGATTCCCATAGTTAAGCCACAGAGTTTATATCAGATTGCTTAAAAACCTTTCTAGTTTGCTAAGAAAGTTAGAATTTGCCCTCTTAACATATTTGAAAAGGCGAATTTTAGCATATTTTGACCACTAGAAATCGCCATCGGCCGATGGCCGTAAATAACCTTGATTTAGACGCTAAGTTTTGGGATTTGGGACCTGGTTGACGATTCTATCCTACACAGCCGTTAAGTTTAGACCTTACAGGCAAAAATATGCAAAAACCCCTGTACGTTCTCGATTTTTCAAAAGTAAGACCGTTTGAATCAGCACATGTACGAGCATTCGCGATTTTTTCGCCTACACCAAAATCGAACCACTGGAGCAGATTTCGTCATAAATACATATATTGTATATACAATATGCTTTGCAGCCCGGCTTCATGGCTCACTTCAGAATTTTTCTAATAACCAAATTGGTGAAATCCATGATAACTTCAACAAATAGCTAGGTATTGCCTTCGAAAAGTAGGCGGCATCCATCGTGATTCGTGGTATCAAAACAAATGTCGGAATTGGCCACATTTCGCGATGAATCACCCATTTAACATCGCTGCAAAGCTGAATTTTTTCCAAAATCAGAATATAAACTCTCTATGTCTGGAAGCTGAGGGAGAAATGAAGGTTTTAGTCTTTTGAAGTGAAGAAATAATCGCTTAAATTTAGATCCAGTTCGATGTTATACTGTTCTCACAAAGGTCCGCACAAAAGAGAAGACCGCTGATAGCTTGTGCCGTACGTTGTGCCATATGGTTATGTTTTGCATCCCAATGTAATATTTGGGCAGAAAAATTTTGGATGAAAAGAATAAATGCTTTTACCTGGAGTTT